TGCAAGCTCCTCTTCATCTGAATCCTGATGTTTACATGCTTTACTTGCAATGTATTTGAGATGAGGAGGGGATGGAGGGGAAAGGATCATGTCACAGGTCTGGAGATTATGTCTGACCAGATGCTGCCACCTCAGGTGGTCACAAACCTAAGTAGCTATTCATCATTACATCCACCGAGTTGTCCACCTGTGTGCTGGGAGGCAGTGTTTTGTATACAAACTGATCTGGATGAGTATCAGACACAGCTGTCAAAAACAGAAGACCTGTACACACCAGTGAAAGATTGAAGAGAAAAAGAATGGCAATTAAGCAAAGCAGCTATAACCATGTTTATTTACTGTCTAAACAGGAGGCACAGCAATGCCAGTGCACAGCAGGCTTGCCTGGAAGTGGGTTTGATTGTGACACGTCAAAGGCAGCATTTGCATGTAGGAGATAAATGCATTTGTTAGGGAACTACAAGAAGTCTGTGTTGCTCTGTTCACAGCAAAAGACACCTCTGCAGCACTCCTCACTGCACCAATTGCTGTTTCACCAGCAGGGGCTGGCAGCTTGTCTTTCTAACATAAGCTCTTACGAGTTTAATTTTTTACACCCAGTAATTACTGCTGATACTTAATGGAAGTTTATGTTCTGTGTCTTCTAAGAGATACAAAGCTCTAAGCTGGCTCTTCTCCTGACTTACTTCTACTTTTTGGATGAGTGATGCCCTTCCCACCTGTTCAGTTTCCCCCACTCACACAGAAATTCCACTCTCAAGTTGCCAAAACTGTTTTTGCTGCAAATGCCAAAAGCAGTGGGTCAGAACATGGAAACCTGCACCACAACAGAAAGGTCCTTCATGCTTGAGACCTTTCCAAAAATGCAGCACAGCCTTTTCTCTGCACCAAAGTACCTCACTGGTGTACAGTAACGTCCACTGGCCTAAGGGCATATTGCTGCTTTCATGCATGCAGAGAGTGCAAGAGGCTCATGTCCTGCAACACACACACACACTTTAAATACAAACACAACTCATATTACGGTGTTATAAAGACTTGTAAGCAGGCCACTGGAGATTTAAAACTTGAAGAATAAAACCATCGCACTCACTTACCAGGAGGGAGAAGCTGCTGTCTTGACACTTATACCCAGAAACTCGTATTTTTATAAACCTCTGATACCACGTGGCAAAGACCTTGTGTCTCAGGACTACAGATCCATACACTGAACTTAACCATCAGTGCGATTATAATCGCTCCCCGAGAATCTGTAGGTCCTCACCACAGCTCTTAAACCTCTCATTACATTAGCAGCTCTTCTAGGTTCCTCAGCAGAACATCACCTTACACTTAAAATTGGCCCATGAGTGTAGAGGGAGGTGTGAATTAGCCAAAACGGTTAACACATTACAGGGTCCGCAAATGAAGCATTTTCTGCTCCCAATTCCTATCATAGCATCAGGCTGGGATCATAAATGAACACTTATGCCTAAAGACATTCACCATATGGACTTAATCCTACCTAAGTAACTGTTAGCTGGAACAGGAACTAGGTTCTTATCTTGGCGGCTCTCATCACCAACTTCGTAAGGCCCATCATCAAAGATACCCAGATCATAAAATGTCTGATTCTTTTGCTCTGCACGAACCACCCCTGGGGAGATGAAATGATAAAATAAAAGCAAATGAATGGTAAAGGAGAAAAATAACAGATAAGTGGTTCCCAAATAACATTAATTACAATGAATGAGATAGTGACAGCTGTTTAAATGGGACAAAATGCACTGGTCGAAAACATTTTCAAAAGGCAATGAATTTCTGTGGTCTATCTGTGTGCCATCAGGCTGCTCTCCAGAGAGGCCATGCAGTATCTGGAAAACCTGGGACACTAAGGAAATTCTCAGCAAACACATGGCACCAACATGGTGAGGAACCACCCCCATCCCACAGTTCTTAACCTCATAAAGTCTCTCTTAAAAGGGAGGTAAATACACAGGAATTAAAGAAAAATAATAAAAAATGACTGTTCAGCCATGAAAATCACTGGTGATGTATTCAGAAAACATTATTTATGGGGAGAAGAGTTATTGCTTGATAGAATATGCGCTCCCCTTTTATCAGGGGCATATTTAACATTTTGGCTGGCAAGCACAAACATGTTTTCCATGATACATAAGAGTACTCCGATGACTGACAGACTGTCATAGCACTGCTCTGCAATTGAAGCCAAGCAGTGTGTGAACTCAATATGCTGTTTCAGCTTGGTCAGGTTTTGTTGACAGATACGGGGAAGATTAAGTTTTCACTAAAGTACACCTTGTGCCAGAGCTTAACTCAAAGATTTTGCATGGTTCACAGAGCAGGCGCAGGTGTACGAGGGAAAAAACGTAATGGTTCAGGGATCAGATGTTCTAAAGAGGGAAATATTTACAGCTGTTTGTCTAATGAAGTGTGATGGGAAAATCACTTTCAGACAGAGCTAGCCATTTCGATGCTTCTCGATATAAACTAACAGAAAAACCATGGTTATTTTCCCCCTTCAGCTCTGGATTATCTCCTAGATGATGTACTTGGCTCTTAATCAGACAGATTATCCATGGATTCACATATGAATACTTGTAGTATGGGTCTATTCAGTTATCTTCCTGCAATCCTACAGTATCTACTTTGGGAAGTCCTATTTTCTACAGACATCACACAGAACAAAATGGAGAATACTGCAGGATAAATATATTGAAAGGAGTATCAGTAAATACTTGTGATACAGAAACATGCATTTTGTGAAAATGGGATAAAATAATTAGACTCCTGTTATCCCCTCCCCCTTCCAAAAAAAAAAAAGAGAACTGAGGATGCAACCCCTGTGAGCAAGGAATTGGGAAGGATAGGCAGGAAGGAAGCCAGCTCATACCTTTCCAGTTGTAAGTGCCTGGGGCACCAAACACAATATAGTGATAGTCTCTAGTAAAAGTAGCAGCAACACCTTGCTGACAGGAACCAAACTTCTCATGCCCTCTTAAACGACCATCACAGAAACTCCACACTCCATTATCCATATCATCTTTAATAGTGAGATCCTGGCTCAGCACATAGCACCTTCCAATGATATCCCGGGTTTCCTGCACTGTGTTTACATACTGTCTCTTCTCATAGCGATGTGCACATGTCTGCAAGACAGAAGAAATAACAAGTGATGCTTTCTGTATGTTTGTATGCAAGTCATCAAAAGAAGGCTGGACTCCTCTAGCAATACTTCATGCTAGCAGTGCTGCAAGTCATCTTGCAGACACATCCATGTTGCAATGCAGAGAGCTCACTGTTCCCTATGGGCAATGTATGGGAAAAGTTGAGCATCTATGGATACAAACCAGAGCAACCAGCTTCATGGATAAATAACGCCACATGGTTAAATCCCTCTTCCCTGTGCAACCTCTGAGGTTTAGCCCTAAAGCCTTCTCTGAAACCTAATACCTCTCCTTCAAGAAGTGAGGAGGGAACCACTATCTCTCATAAGGGAAGAAGTGTCTGTTTCCCCATAGCTGGCAGAGTTAAATGACGTACATGCTTGTGCGGAACATGAGAAGCTGGTTCAACTACCACCTACCTGAGACTACCTAGAACACAGCCCTGCCAGGAAAGTGCCCTAAAGCAGAGGCTGAAAGCTCTTCCAATGAAAGGGAGGGAAGTTGTTCCTATTTCCTATGCTGGCTGTTCCACTTACAGAATAACTGTCACTGGGACAGAGCAGCAGCAAGTACAAGCACAACCTGTTCCTTAACCTTTTAGACTATTCACCTGGGAACATAATACTAATCAAATATTTAACACAGAGGATGAATAGCGCTGGGTTAAGTGGTGTAAACACCAAACCATTGTAAGAAGAGATGGAACAATCTAAATCCTTTGCCAGCAGCGTTTTTTGCAGAACCAGCTGCAGCAGGTGTGTGAAAAGCAGAAGCAAACCAGGTTTCTCAGCTGATGCACCTTTTCTCCATTTCCTGTTAAGGCTTAAATATTAAGCAAGTGTCCAGGTGCTCCATTCTCAGAGCACTGCAGTACTGCCCTGCTGCACAGTGACCTTCAGGCTGCCCACGTCTCCTCTAGTAAGTGCATTTCCCACTTATCACTTACAAAGACAGCATTAGTTGATGATTAATTATTCAATGAGCAGGAGACTGTCTGCTCTCCCCTCTCTTTGGGTTCTGAAGCAGACTGAGGCAAGTTATTTCTGCCTCTGTCATTAAAGGACTCCAGATTCACACCCTGAAGTGGTTTGCCTCCCGTTTGGGAAGCAAGTATCTTGCAGATATGAACCTGCAAGAACATAATTAGATGGGGAAGCCTCACTGCACACCATGTCATGATGTAGCCAGTATCCTACAGCACCAGGAGAGGTTTATTTAACTGAGAATGAGCTAAGAAAGTTAACGTTCTCTGGTAACTCCTGAAAGCTTTTTCTCTCTGTATTGTATAAAATCTTTCTGTAACGTATAAAATAAAGACCAGCAAGTGGTCTTACTGCAGTGCAATGGACTTACTAATTCACAGGCGCAACTCAAAGTTCCTGGTGAAAGCTAAAGTGAGGCTGATCATCCTAAAAAACAGGCAGGCGACATCCTACTACTTTTACAACCTCATCACACTATTTCTCCCTATTTCCATACCCAGTGGCATTTAAAAGAAACAAGGTACCTATCACAAAAATCAAACCATAAGTGGACACCCTGAAAATGCACTGCCCACCCTAGGCTGTTACAAGGTTATAAAGAAAGGCTAACTCACGGTTAGAAAAATAGCTTACAAGCTTTTACAACCTCAAGTGTCTTACCGTGCTAGGGAGACACACAATGGGTTTTTAAGTCAGACCTTCAGACTTACCACCACATTTCCTCCTGGCCCCTGACTTTGAACAGTTACACCCATCCACTGGTCTTCTTTACTCTCCATCTTCGGATCAGCTGCAGGATTTCATAACACAACGTCAGATATTAACAGTTAAATATTGTTTCTTTCAACAGGCCTTTCATACATTACATAGGACAGCCTGCAGGTGGCAGTGTCCGTACAGTTTATCACAGACAACATCCAGTGCTGTTAAACACTTCTAGCCTATCACTTCATGTCACATCAATTTATGAAAGAGTAAGAACATCCAAATCTGCCCAGAATTAAGCATCTCATGCTACTATCTTAGCAATTAAGCTACAAGTTATCCTGATCCAAAAAATCTTACGTATAAATCCATCAAAACAACTGATGCCTTTGGAAAGGACCACATCAGGTTAAGAAGAATTAAACAACTGTTTCAATCTAAAAGTGCTGAAGAACTTACTCTCCTCATCAAATACGACACGAGTGCAACGTGCATTTGGAGATGAGATGTCACAGCTGTACAACCCTCCGGTTCTGTTGGCCTGTTGGGCTGGAAAGGCCTTTTCCCGAGGAGCTCCAACCAGCAATCTGCAGGGAAAGAGAAATAACTTCAATGGATCTATTGGAGGAAATATTCTTTTCACCAGGTTGCCAGAGGTTTGACATGCAAACATGTGAAGATGGACCAAAAGCTACATCACAGCACGGTTCCTGAAACAAAAATAAGGAGGCCTGTAAAGCGGTAAGTTGTGTGATTATGGGACCTGCAAGGCAGTGGATGTGTTGTTATTGCTGCTGTTATTGTGACAGTGTTCACTGGGAGCAGTTGATCAGAACTGTATGAAAGTAGTTGTGTGGAAATCATTCTCCTGTCAGATTGTCCAGTGGGGTGTCTTCTGCCTTTATAGTACCTGCTGGTAAGGGGCGGGAAAGTACTGTTACCTAAATGACCACAACCACCCAGCACAGCGAATACAACTGCTTTAAGGCTGCCTCCTAATTTTACAACAGTCCTGTGCCATGGTTTGGCTGAAGTTACAGGCACTTTAGTATCCTCATGCAAAGCAAGATCCCTCCTGGCCCAAGCAAGTGTTCACTGAACTGGTTCTGTACTCCCTCTCTTCACTCCTTTGGCCAGATACTCCATTTTGAAGCTGAAAATGTACTTCAACAAACGTCTCGTCAAGAACAGGCCGTTCCCACAAATGACTTATTTCTCCTATACAAAGGCCATTCTAACAAGCCCTCCTTAGACACTGTTGCTGTTAATCAAATGGGAAGGTTCTCATTTTAAAAACTGAATAAAGCAAATTGTTTTCCTGCATCCCCCTGAGCATCATCCCCCATGAGCATTATCACAAAATCACCACTAGACATATCTACTAGAAAAATAAGGGGTTTCAGCCAAAAAACATCTTACATTGCCTGTGTTTTTCTGAAGTGACACACACAAAGCACAGCTGCCCCTCAAGCAGATAACTGAAATGAATAACAACCAGCATGCAACAGTTTGTGAAGAAACGAGAAACTCAAGCTCAGCTGAAAAAACAAGGATGAGAACAGCATGTGGATAGGTGCAACACAGCAGGCGTGATGGATGGATGTACCAGACTCCATGTGCTTCCTGTCCTTGGTACAAAACATCTGACAGAAGAGATGCCCGACATTACTCTGTCAAGGAGGGACAATCTGGGACTATAGTTGGATCCACAAAGCTCAAAAATGAACTCTGACCCTCTTTAAGCTTCAGCTATAGTTTTGCTTGAGAGAAAAGCTTTTCTGCATGCTTTACAGCACAGTGCTGTCGGCAGACTGCTTTTCTAAGAACAAGACTCACTTTTATTCATATCTAACAGTTAAGACTGAATCAGTTATGATCAATACATAATTTGTTATTAACAATGACGTTGTTATTCAGTATCACTGAATGATGAGACAAAATTCAACTGATGTATTATGAGAAGACATTTTTTTATAAACAGAAAGTTACATCAGCCAAGTGTTCACCACTTTCATAGAAATAAATGCTCCCACAATCCATAATTTGCCCTTGCGAAGGTAAACTCCTGCATGGTGAAACCTTCAGGTAAAACACTCCCTTTTGCCTGGTACACACATAAAACCAGGACACACCATGTGGGTGGGTTCTGGTTTAAAGTGTTTCCTTCTTTTCCCCCTACATACACCTGGCATCATTTTCAAAGGTTTCTTTAGAAACAAAGCAGTCCTCACAGGAGTTTGTAACCCAAACAAGAACCACACTTTCAGAAAGGCCATTTAATAACTCCATTTCTAATATCAGCAACAGCGCATCTAACTGTAATCTCCTACAGTGACTCTTGCAAAGCATCTGTTTCTGAGCTAGTCCTGATGTGGGAACAGATACATTTTCTTCTCAATTCTGTTATGCCCCAGGGGAAAGATGCATGAGATTTCTGTATATGTATATTTATTTTTTTTTATATTAACAACCGACACATGAGATTTGTGTGTGTATATATATATATATATTATAGTAACAACCATAAATTTAAGAAAGTAGAGGCACTGATTCCCCAACTTACGAAGATTTTTATTATTTCTACCTTTTCATTCACAGTTTGGTGGTAAAAATCATTTCTTGAATTTCACTTACAGAAATTGGATCAGAAACGTCCGTTTCAATACTGTGAACACAACTAAGGCTTCTGGAATTGAGACACTTAATCTGGTTTAATCCACCCATCTGCATACTACTGACAGCAGTGGCGCCAGATCAACTGAAATATGACCTTCTATAATATACTGTGATTTTGATGGCAATTCAGCCAGAGGGGACACCTACGGAAGCATCAGGGAAGAAAGAGTGCAGCCAACAGAAGACGGGAGTGGAAAGATGGGCGACCTGCCATAAAATGCCCCAAACGTTCTATGGCATCTCAAACAGGCACCTGATGAGATCAATAAATGAAAAATGCTTCCTTAAAGAGGCTTCTTTAAGGAAAAGAAAGTGTCAATCCAACATGACCTCAAAGGGAACGGGCATCCTTACATCCCTTCCAGTGCTCATGCCCCCTGACCATATCTTGCCTTATTTTCCACTGTAAATGAAGTATTTCAAAGCAGACTGGTTTAAAGCCCTCCAGACTTCAAAGAACTTGTGTCAGGAATCCTGGCACTTGTCTTCAAGGCTTATCAAACACAAAAGCCTTGAGTCCTATCAGGTGCATCACTGCAAGTCCTTACTCACAACACAGGTCACAGTACACACGCACTAGCACACACCATGAGCAGGTGCTTGCAAAGGGTTAGATCAGTTCAGGCAGACACTATGGTAAATGCTGAAATGTATTTCCAAGTAGTAGTGAAAAGACCCATTAAAAAGTGGCATTAACTCCTCTGTACTACTTGTCTGCCCTAAAGACCACAGCAGAGAAGATTAAACTTTTGCTTCCGGGTTCTGCAAGGCAAGTTAAAGACAATGAGGATTACAAATGTTTATGAGGATCATCAACATTATTAGGGACTTAAGCCTGTGCATCTAGTTTCTGGCTGAATAAATTAAGTGAAACATGCGTGCCAAGCACATTGTGACTTGTGACCCACAGAGCTGCTGATCTCACTGCCCCACTGTTCAAGAGGTACATCTGAAAAATCAGAATTCTATTCGAGAAGCCAAATGAAAGTGTGCACCTAACTAAGGAAGTATGACACAGACCATGCACCAGGGTGAACTTCAGCATGACTGCAGCAGTGCAAATGAATCAGCCTGTACACTGAGCTGTGCGACGTGCTCAACAGTCCTTCCATACTGAGGACACATTCCAGTCATTACTGTACGGCTACTTACTTGGCTGCATTTTAATAGAACTTCAGTCAAGTTGGAGCTCATTATGCCAAAAGCAGGTCAGGTTTTTCTGCATGTTCCACTTTAGCTTTCACAGTGGCAAGCAAAACCTCTTTCTGCAAAAGGAAGGAGGTTGGGGTAGGGAGGGGGAAAGGAGGTGCTCTCCTGGCTATCGCTATCTCCTTGTATCAGCAGATGAAACACTGACATAAACCCCAAGAACTTCCTCTGCAAACAACAACTGACAAAAGCAAATTCTTCATTTCCCTCCACCCATGATGACAGCATGATGCATTTTATTCACTGGGTCTTCTTCCTGAAGGTGTACAAGGGCTACAGTCACTACTGTCAATGCAGGTCTGAATGCCCAAGTCAGGCTCCAGAATCCGTATTTAGATACCAAAATAATGCCCCACTGTCAAGACTGCAGAGTCAGAGGTTAAACCCCAGAGACTCCAACATATGGACATTTTACTGACCTCCTATCCCATGGCAGGTTTGCCTTGTTACTGTGCAGAAAACAGAAGCTCAGCTATACAGCATACAGAACACAAACATGCCTGAGCATCTGCTCCTGATGGAGCCTTAGCTATTCATGATTTATGGTGATTTAGTATCGAATGTTTAACATGAGCTAAATGTCAGACAAAAAAATATCACTGTTCCTCATGCACAAATCAGATGCTTTGTGCTACTTGAATCCTGATTTCCCCATTCATCTTGCTTAAATATGTACTATAAATTGACGAGGTTTGCCCTGAGCCAATCAGACTGCACAGGTGTTACATCAACTTCTGTTAATAGTGCATTATGTTACATTCCTGTAGATTAGAAGAAGTGTCTGTTGAGTCATAATGTTGGAAAAAACCATCAGAATTCTCTCATAGCCTGGCACAAAACCCCAGTGCTCTTTGGCTCCAGTTATATCCCGTAACTGAAATATGTGCCTTCCCATTTCAAACTGGAATTCCAATTTCAAACAAATGCATCAGTCCTGTTGCTCTGCTGGTTAAGAGTTAGATAAATTATTGCTTTCTCTGAACTACTTCTTGGAGATACATGATAATGTCTGATGTCCCACTGCCAATTATGAGCTCTGTCGGCTTCCAGGGACAGATTTACTCCCTTACAACCCCAGATTCATGGCTAAACCTGAGATAATCCTATAGGATCAGAGCTCCAGGACTGCCATGTATTGACAATTTAACTAAATGACCACAGTGAGACCCAGTTTTGGCTCAGGTGGATGGTGCCTGTACTGCACAGACGCAGGTGATCCCAGCTACACCACTGCAGTATTACATCACCCCTGACCAAAACAGCTGAGACAACAAAAACTCCATTTCACCACTTATGATGAACACCACTGAAGCCTCAGAAAAGGCATTAAGACATCTTGCTGACTTCACCTAGAGCTGGACCAGCCCTGTGGATAATTGCATGCAGAAAACCCTCTTTATAAACCCACACATTTCCAAGAAGTGGAAGGAGGTGGGAACTCACTGCCCAGTCAGGCAGGAATCAGGCCTCAGTTTGTCCACTGCTGTTGACCACTATTCAGTAAGATCAGGTGGGTGACCATCAAGAAGGCTCTAAGTTAATATAATCAAAAGTTACCCTAAAGAGTT